AAGAGAGTTGTTTCGAAGATGAGCGGTGTGAGTGTTGGGGAGCCGGGGAAGAGTAAACCAGTGCACTCAGAGCCGTGCGCTGTTCCTCTGCCGGAAACGGAGGAGGAGAAAGTCGATATTACGCTGGACTCCGAGTCAAGAAATATTAAAGTTTTTGCCGTTGATGAGAAAGATATGATCGACAAGTGCGAAGGTAAGCGTCATTTATTTTTTTAATGATTATTAAAGCTCATGGCACTTGAATTGCTAATAAAAATAATAAATATACTGCTGATAATTTCACTATTTATGCTGTTATTTTGGCATTCTTCAATATCTATCGCGATTTATAGGAGATATATCAAGAAATTATAAGACTATTACAAAAATATTATTTTTACAAAATCAATTAATTAAACTTTATATTTAAGATAAAATGAAAATGTTATCCAAGATTTTTTTAATTAATATACCTGGTTTTTTTAATATTAGAATTAAAACTTTGAATTGTAAATTAAAAAAAAAAAAAAATGTAACATTTGATGATAATATCTTTAAGTGTGTATAATTAAAAGTGAAAGTTAGATATGAAGCAAATACTAACTTTTATTTCATTGTAAATTATAATTTATAAATATTTATGTGCTATATTTCTTATAAATATGAATTACATTGATATATTTTTATTTTAATGCATCGATATTTATCTAATAATATACATAGTTTTAAATGTTGAATATTAAAAAATATGATTAAATAACCATTGCGTTGAAACAGTTTATTCTTAAAAATTATATATTACAGGCAGTCTCTGTAATGTAAAGCAATTATTTATTTCCGAGAACTCAGCTGTGTACAAAACTCAATCAAATTGTGTTTATTAATATTTTGATTATTTAATTTCATTTTATTCTTTATGGATTGCAAAGACGTTAGAAGCAAGTTTCTTATTATACTTTCCAAAAAATTCCGAATGAAACATTAAATTGACAAGACTTTTGTATAATGAGCAAACGACAAATGCGCCATCTACAACAATGCTGATTCCTGGGATAAACGAACCGTTAACTACTACGACTCCGTTATCAAGGTCTTTAGAATTTTTATAAAGAAAAATTACTTCATCGCCAAGGATAGCAACTTTTGCGACGCGTAACAGTTCGCCAAGAGTTTTTTTTTTTTTTTTTTTTTTTTTTTTTGTTTAATATCAAAGTGTATCAACTTTATAACTTAGGAATATCATAGACAGTAGATATGCGGTAAAAATTAATATATGCTTTAATAATTTTCATTTGTAAATTTTCATTAATAGATAAAGTGAGTAATAATTAAAACTCTAATAATGCATGAACATTGTGTTAGAAGTTAATATTGAAATAAAATGATTTATTGTATTAATGTGACTATTTTCACAATGGTGATATATGCGAAAAAAAATAGGAATAGTTTTTAATGTTAAATAATCTCGTTAATTAATACTATAATTATTTGCAAAGATAAATTTATCTATTTATCTTATGTAAAAAGACACGTTTTAGAAATTTATAAAATAAATTAGGATTGCAAATCAGTTTAAAGAATATCAATTACGTATCGTTAATACGATTAGTGACGCGAAAAACTTTGCCTACTTAAATACAATTAAGTTAAATTCAATTTAATAGTAAAAAATAAATAATACAATAATATCAATAAAGAATTCTTGAATTTTCAAATAATAAAATATTAATTAATAGTTTAAAAAAATAATAAATTTTTAAAAAATAACATTAATTTTCAGGTAAAAACTACTTGTTTAATTGTAATTAATTTATATATTTTCTATTAATTATAAAGTTTTTCATTTCTATTAATAGCAAAGCGACTCGATTTTCTCCTGAAAAAGTACTTGCAAAATAAGCATAACCAAACACCAATCAATAATAAATTTATGTACAGATTTGAATGTAATAACTTTGTAATATGTTTAGTATTCTTATTTGATTACTTAATTGTCGATGCACTACTTTGCAATTAATACAGACCAATTAAATTTATTATAAACAGTTTTATCGTTAAGGAATCAATATTGAATGCTTAATTTGATATTAGGTTTCCATTCATATACAATGCTCAAATCATGTATTTATCATATTCATAAATTCTTACGAAAACACATTGAAAATTGGATTTGGAATTATATTGCATCTATATAAAATTAGATTTGTACACAGATATTTAGCATAACTTAGCAAGTATAATCATGTTAAGTTAGTATAGAAAAGAAAATCAAAAGAGAGAGAATCGATTTATAAGCAAAGTACACAAACACCTTTGAAAAATCTTGCAGATCTCTCTCTCTCTCTCTCTCTCTCTCTCTCTCTCTCTCTCTAAACTGGAAAATCGAAGTAAGCGACTGCGAATATCAGGAGGTCAGGGTCAATGAGTTCATTTCTCCCTCAGCGGGAGGACTTTGATGTACAGTACCGATAGCGCGTATAAAGGATAGATGAAATCCGGTGGTTTTCCCGCGCATACTTGGCCGCTCCTATAAAAGGCATAAATCTCCTAGCTGCACATGAATTAGCACCCCCCACCTCCCCCTTCTCTCTATCATACGTGCATGAAAAGCTACAGAATCACGGCACGAAATGTTTAAGGGGGAAGGGAGGCAAAGGGGGCTTCACGGGAATTCACTGAATACTCGCATGTAAGAGGATGGTAACGTAGGTGTGCGCGCTAGTAAAACAAAAATGTCACGAGTCTATCGCCTCGACTGCTTGGTATTGGATATAAATGAATTACACAATTTACAATGGTGTGTTACAGATAATGTTTTGTCATTCTTTTGGGTGAATTTGTATGGCATTTTAATTAATTTCGATCATTTACGACAAAGTTACGTCAATAAACAGAGAAAATAACATTATTGACTTTCGTAGAATCGTGAAAAATGTTAAGAACATATTGTTTTAATTTGTAAATTTTAAAATAACTAATTTTAGAATATTAAAATTGCATTTATGAGAGAACAATCGATAAAAAAGATGTATAATGTATACAATTTTGATAAGCAGTGTCGATTTATTTTTGCAATGATTTGACGTTTGAACATGTAGACGATTATTATATGAATTTTACATAATTAAAAATATAAATAACCCAATTAGTTCAATAAATAGCAATTAAGTTACTTATCAAAGTTTCAGCGTCAGTCTATAATTCACTCTTTAATACGGCAATTTTAATACGGCAACGACGTATTAAACGAATCTCGTGCAATATATGGATGCAATATATTACGTTAAAAATTATCAACATTACGTGATTCTATATTATATTCAATCATTATGTTACAAGGCTCCTTTATTAGCCATGTAATATGAGCACAGAAAACAGCTCAGAGAAAAGCGAGCGCGTGGGAAAAGCTTCGATCAACGGGAAAAGAAAAGAGAGAAAGAGAGTGTATAAGCTGTCAAGACAATGGTAACTTTTCTCTCTCCTTCTTTTATAAAACCCTCTCGATGCTTTGATTCTTGTTATTGCTAAAGCAACCTCTATAATAGGGCGTTCAAGGATTTTCATCGTACAAAAGTCAGGAAGTATTTGTCAATAGGTTCAATCATTGGCAATAAGTATGGATGAAAAATATGCTACTGGCTTATAAGCTGGAGTATGCGCACGCGATATCTTTTGGCTAAGCTGTAAACGGTGACGTCTAAAATTGCGAAAAGTCACTTCCGGAACGCGAACACAACACGCCTATGTAAAAGCAGTTTTAACCTGCTCATATTGTGTGTTGGCGTAATGCATTCGAGCGCTTCAATTTATCACAACGCGAGCGATTCTACTACACTCTACAATTCTGCCACTATGTATGTGTTTATGCATTTTAAAATTAAATTATGCGCTAATAAACGTGCATCCATTACTTCTATTTTCAACTGTGTGTGCGTACGTCTAGACTATAACTGTTTTATGCGATTTGTAACTCAGACGTTCCAAGAATTTAACAGATAAATTATATATATTAAAGGAAAACAGCTTTAAAATTATAATAACTACCAATTTTTTCAAATATTTCATTTAAATTTAAATACTTATTCAATACATAAAACAAAGTTTCAATATTTCATTATGAAATAATACCCACACTTAATTAAATTATCAATATTAATGATATATGTCAATATACAAGCGAATAGTTATTTTAATACTGATGAAGATAATTATATATATATATATATATATATATATATATATATATATAAAAGATAATTTTAAAAAGCTGAAATACAAGGTATTTATTTATCTACACGCATAAATATTTAGATCAATTTTAGAAAGCATATGTAGCTTTGAAATAAAATATTTCTGATATTCATTGATCCCATTTTATTTTATTAATTTCATTTTATGTTACACGTCTGCCTACAATTTTATATAATAATTTAAGATAATAGTTAATAATCAACTTTTCCACGACTTTTAAACTGTATTTTATAAATTTTATATGTATCCTGATAAAAATTTAAGTAGTATGTGTACGCATGAATGGACATGACAATGCTTCAATTAGAAAGCTATAATGAAAAATGTTAAAATGTAAAAAATAGGATATAATTGATGTATCTAAATAATCATTAATCGGGCCAAATCTACGCAAGACACGTGGTTGTAATACCGATGACATTTTTTAGTTTGCTACCGCACGATGTTACTTGAATATTTGTACCATAGAAAGAATTGAGCATTCGACAGTATCTTTATTAAAACTTTAAACTTAGACTCAGTAATGAGGGACAGGGAGCGGAAATGAGAAAAAAAGAGAGGAGCAGAATTAACGACTCAATCACATGCGATAATGTAGTATTGTACATAATGATGGAGAAGCTTTATCAGCTTCAGCATATGCGGCGTGTATATATAAGATCGAGGCTGGTTAATCTTCCTTGACTCGCTCACTAATGAAAATATCGTAAATTGTGCACTTGTAAAACTCACGGTCACAGTTTTCCATTGGATTGTCCCGATCGTTACAGGAGGAAGTAGCATGTTAAACATGTTCATTTATGAAAAATCATGACTAAAATCTTACTATTAATTTTTCATTTTTTGCCACAATCTTTATGTTTTCTTGCAAAATCTCGATTGATAATTGATTCCTGGGTTGACATTGTGAACGACATTATTTTTGACTTTACATTGTCGATGCTTGAAATATTTTAGAAATCGACTATTTATATACCATTTTCTACGTAGCAGAATTCAGTTTTAGTTACGAAATCCAGTTTTATTAATAAAAATCTGCTCAATACCCTTATAAATATATTTACAGTTTCTTCTAATTATTTTAACTAATTTTTATAGGCAGCAGCTTTCCTTTTAAATTAAGCACGTTAAAAAGTCCCGCCATTGATTTATAAAGATGTATAAGTATATAAATACAACAATATAAATATAAATATAATAATAAATATAAAATAGATATGTATTAGTAAAATAAAATAATATAGATGCATGTTAATAAAAGAAAATAAAATATATTATATTCGTTAATTAGGATGATATATAGTAATGTATAATTTTAATATTTTTTTAAGCTATAAATACCTCTAATTTCAATTTTTAAATGTATAAGAAATCTAAGCATCAATTACAGTAAATTTGTAAAAAAAATTTTATAAAAACTGAATTTTCATTGAATCTGAAAACTTTAGCCTAAATAACTCATAATTGAAACAAAAAAAATCAGTGAGCTATTACTAATCTGGAAAAATCTTAAGATTGTAATTTTTTTCGAATACGATCGATACAGTAAATGGCTCCCTATAAAATGTTTTTCCAATATTTCTCTACAAGTTTTTCATGCTCTTTGCCACTAATTACCATTGGTCTCGCACGTGTGTCGTCGTTGCGCACGTTGCGTCGCGCACAAAGCGAACCTCACTTGATGACTTCCGTTACAAGCTTCCGGTGTAAATGCACTTACTCTTTCTCCTATTATACTCACAAACGCAATTTAGATTCATTGTAGGGATATCATTCGACAATTTGTCTCGGCTAAAATTCTCTGGTCTCTGTTTCCTTGTCGTATAATTTGTTGAGCTCAACAAATGAACATTTTTCAATAAATAGTATACATAAATCACTTATAAAAAAATGTACTTAAATTTT